CTCCCAAAGTGAGGTTTCTTAAGTGGTGGTGGTGCATGCTTTTAGTCCCAGCACTCAGGAGGCAGAGGCAGGCAGATCTCTGAGTTGGAGGCCAGCCGGGTCTATAAAGCAAGTTTGGGATAGCCTGGGCTATACAGAGAAGCCCTGTCTCAAAAACAAACAAACAAACAACAAAACAAAACAAAATGAACAAAGAAAAATCATTTCTCCTTCTTAAGTTACTGTCTCCAACATTTTCCTGTAGTGATGCAAAGCGACTAATACAGTATGCAACAGACTATCCCCCAACTGCAAGACCCTTTACAGATCACAGAATAGCTGGCACACACAGGAAGAAGAAAAGCATCTTAAGAACCTGATCTGTTCATTCAATTGACTTTTCTTGAACACATCACTTGTTTATGAAATATCACTTGTATAGTCAATATTTGTGAATGTTCACTATAAAGTACCCATATCTCTATGTACAAAATAGACTTAATTCCAAGAGCTATAAAGAGAAATAGCTGGGCCGTGGTAGTACATTCCTTTAATCCCAGCACTCGGGAGGCAGAGGCAGTGGATCTCTGTGAGTTCGAGGCCAGCCTAGTCCACAAGATCTAGTTCCAGGACTAGCTTCACAGCTATTGAGAAATCCTGTCTCAAAAAAAGAGGTCTAGGAAGAGTGACCAGGTAGGTGGCACACTGGAAACATCTCAAAAGGTAACAACTGAGTGGTACACCTAGAGAATTAGTTTTGGACAACTAATTTGGATCAGAGATTTTAAAATCTGCTATGCTGATGGACTCTGAGGGGTACATAAGAAACAGGATTAAAATGGAGGGTAACAGGGTTAGTTAGTAGTATATCTCAATGGGCGAGACACTTGCCCAGTGTGCTCAGAGTTTGATTCTCGGCAACTCCCTCCATACATGCGTGTACACACAAATTAAGACTGGGGGAAGCCAGGTCATTGTGTGACACGCCCTTAATCCCAGCACTCGGGAGGCAGAGGCAGGCGGATCTCTGGGAGTTCAAGGCTAGCCTGGTCTACAAGAGCTAGTTCCAGGACAGGCTCCAAAGCTACAGAGAAACCCTGTCTCGAAGTGGGGAAAAGACTAGGAGAATCATTTCGTACTGAGTCACAAGAAGAAATAGCACTCATTTTCTACCGATATACTAGAAGATGGAATCCTATATTCCCTTTCCTCAATGACAGATCAATCTAAATTGGCCCTTTTTTTGTTGATTTTTTGAGACAGGGTTTCTCTGTGGCTTTGGAGCCTGTCCTGGAACTAACTCTTGTAGACCAGGCTGGTCTTGAACTCACAGAGATCCGCCTGCCTCTGCCTCCCGAGTGCTGGGATTAAAGGCGTGTGCCACCACTGCCCAGCCCTAAAATGGCCTTCTAAAAAGATGAAATATGGATCCCATGATAGCAATCACAAGTGGAGAGGGCTGTAACCCCTCATATATGGTGACATTTTCAATGAGAAAACCAAAGACTGATATGTTAAGTCAGGTACAGTATAATCAGGGATAAGAAGCTTATATTTTCCTGCCAGTCAATACCACTCCATACTAAAATTTGTGTTTGATGACTTAGGAACAAAAAGCCAATCTGATCTAGTCATCCCCTTAAAACCAACTTCTTGCTCTATCGGCTATAATCATCAGTTGGGCATTTATCAAAAGAGTGGTTACAGTTGTAAATATGTGTATTTTGCTGCTCAAAACCATCTCAGTGGCTTTCTTGAGAAAGAACCATTCTCAGGACTATCAAAAAGCTTCAGTCTCCAAGACTTCGCAAACAGATCCCCAAATTTAATCATTAAGCAAACAGCTAGATGTGCTAGCTCACACCTGTAATCCCAGCATTAAGAAGGTCAAGGCAGTACTGAAGTCAGTCTGTGCTATACAAGTGAGTTCTAAGCCATCCTGGGCTACAGTGAGAGACCCTGTCTCCAAAAGCAAACAATCAAACAAGTGCAGCTGGTCTAGTTCCCTTTATGCCCACCAACACTGACTTCTATTCTGCCCTCCACATTCCCACTTAGTTACTTGCTTTCAGTTGAGGGGTTTTTTTCCTTTTTTTGTTTTGTTTTTTTTTTCTTTTTATTCTCTGTGCAACACTTCCGGCCATCCTAGAACTTGCTCTATAGACAAAGCTGGCCTCAAACTCAGCGATCTGCCTGCTCCACTTGTCTCCTGAGTACTGGGATTAAAGGCGAACACCACCACCACCACTGGCTCTGTTAAGTTTTAAAATCACTAATTTTGGAATTCACACAACAAAACCATATTATTGTAATTTATTCACCCCCATACTAGTTTCATGCAGGTAATATCTCTCACACGGAGGTCACAATAATAGCAGAAGACAAAGTATTAACTTCAAGGGCATTTTTGTTCATACCGCCAAGTCTTCACTTGGGCCTATGCAGGTGATATTAGCACTACCATTTTCTGAACATGTGTCCCATGAAGATTGATTATACATGTGTTTAGATCACTGATTACTTCACCTCCAGCCACGTTTCCCCGTGTCTTAAATCACCCTGCTGCTTTATCTCTACACAGCCCCTCTCCTAGCCTCAGGGAAGAGGATTGAGACTTGCTTCTGTCACCTCCACCCTCAGCTGTCCAGTAAATAACCTGTTTTGTAAAATGTAGAGGTTAAGGGATTGACTGGCTTCACTGTTGGTGGTGGTGGTGGTGGTTTAGCAGCATCCTCTAACTCTGGGCTCAAGTTTTCCAACAGCAGATTTTTAGGAGGCTAGTAAAACACTTCAAATAGCCTACATTTGAAAAGCTAGCCATTCAAAAAGCAGTTAGTTAATGTACCAATATCTAACAAGTTTAAACATCCAATTTTCTAGAACTTTTATTTACATGGAACTCTTACTATACCAATCTTCAGAGGCCAAATTAAAATTATATGCTTTCTGTTATTTTATAGCATATCAAATAAAAGTAATACTTTCTTTCCATTATTTTATAACATAGCACAAATGCATTATAAGGGAATAAACTGTTACTTAGGTGATCTGGAAATATAGGCCTTTTATCCAATTAAGTGAAGCAATACTAATAGTTCAGAAAACAATATCTGTAATCTTTACCACACTCACCTCATATTACTTGGTGATGGTACTAATAAGATGATAATGATAAAGTTACACACAAATATAAATAGTGATATATGTTCAGACACTGTAAACACCCTTCTCGGGCTTATGAAGAATCTATTTCTCAACAGATTCTTCTCTGAACACAGTCACAGACAGCTTAACATTTAAATAAAGTTACCTTTCGGGGTGGTTTTTAGAAGCATGTTTGAGGAGTGAGGATCTATTATTTATCTTTTAAACAAACATGAAGAAAGCAGAACTCTCTGCCTGGGTCTGATGTGCACAGAGGCCAACATAATCACCAAACATTATGCTCAGTGCTTTATATGCAGGGCTGCATTTCATTCTCACAAGAGCCTTAGAAACAGGAACCACTACTTCTACTTTATAATGAGATTGCCAATGGAATAAGGGACAGTGGGCCCAAGACAGCTGATCAGTGACTGGCCCAGTGAAAGTTTAACACAAAGACCAAGACTGCACAATCTCACCCTTTCACAAACTAAGTTCCTCAAGCAGTCAATCCTTCAATACCTATTTAGAGAGTCTATGATAATATGTGGTGGTAAAAAAAAAACTTATTGAATTTAGAACAGTGAGATTCAACTATACAACTGTCTAGCACCATGCTATTCAATAGGGCAAGGCCAGTTCGGGCCTCCTCTCCTCTATTGCTTAGGGTCTTAGGCGGGGTCATCCTTGTGGATTCCCGGAAATCGTTTGTTTTCTTTTAAAAAAATAAAAATAAAAGATTATTACTATTCAGAATGTTAGAGAGTATTTTACACATGCATGCTTCTGCACATCTAAGCAAGAACAGAAACATCAAGATTTTTATACCTCCATTGTTAGGACTAGACCAACCCTTTCTCTGTAATTTATTTCTAAGATGTATAGTCAGTCAATCCTCATTATGTGAAGAGAATCAGTTCCAGGAACTTCTTCACAGAGATACCAAAATCTATAAATGGTGAAGTCCCTTATATAAAATGATAAGTGTATATAAAACCTATGTGTACCCTGTTGCATTTGAAAGTCTAGCTAAACTGGCTGTAATAGTTAATTCAAGGTAAATACTATGTAAGTAGTTGTTATACTGTATTGCTTAGGGAATAAGACAAGAAAAGAACTCTCCTACACTTTCAGTACATGTGCAATTGGTTTTTTTATTTTTGAGACTGCAACTTAATTACAACACCTCCCCCTTCCTTTTCCTCATTCCAAATATCCATCCCTACTCTCCTTCAAATTCATGGTCTCTGTTTTCACAGCCCTGAAATCGTACATACAAGTAACATTATATGAACCCAGAAGATTATATTTAGGAATATATATGTATGTGTGAATACATATATTCATGCGGATTTTTTTAAAGCTACATCTGAATCCAGACATGGAAAACACAGTTGTAAGAGCTGACGTTAGAGAAATTAATAGCTGATACTTTGGGAAACTTTAAAAATTTATGTGTATGGGTATTTTCCCTGCAACTGGGGCTACAGATGGTTGTGAGCCACCATGTGAATACTGGGAATCAAACCTGGGTCCTCTATGCAAGCAGCAAGTGCTTTTAACCACTGAGTCATCTCTCCAGCCCCTACTCTGCTTTATATATTCTAACTTGGAGTCAAGCTATCTTGTTTGTTTTTGAGGTACAGGAGAGAAGGTCTATAAATTAATTCCATTTCTTTTTTCTGATGTCTTGAGACAGAGTAGCTTTGGAGTCTGTCCTGGAACTAGGTCTGTAGACCAGATCTAACTACCATTCACTTCCTCCATCATCTCTTGATGCCACAGTCTCTCCACTGTAAAAAAGTCAATAACTGCTCTTAACTTTACAAGATTTACATAATATAGTAACACAATGATCAAGTCAAATGTCAAATTACCTGGGTCAGTGGCAGAGATAATTGCTCCAAAAAAGAGACAATCCGTGTAGTAAAATTTATCAGTGAGCTGGCCCACAATCTTCATGAGTTTCACCACCCCATACATAAGATTTCTGTAGGATGAGAGGTAAACAGTGTCAGGGGATCATTTTGCTGACATATAAACAGTAATAGAGTGATATTAGAACATTGCACATTAAGGGAGATTCAGGAAAGCATGGGCAGTTTCTATGGTTGGGCACTTACCAGGAACATAGGCAAATAGAACTTTGACACCAAACAATGGTTTATAGTTATTATCTTGCAGAAGTATCTAAATACTTTTTTTGTTATTGTTGCTTTTTTGTGCATGCATGGGGGTGGGGCACTGAGAGAAAGTCTCCAGTAGACTAATCTAGCCTTGACTTGCTACCTCATAGCAGAGGATGACCTTCAACTTTTGATCCACTCAAGGATGGCCCTGAACTTCTGATTCTCTTGCCTCTGCCTTTCAAGTGCTATAATTACAGATATAACCCACCACCACCCAAAGCTTTGTGCATTTTAGGTAAACTGCACTAACTGAATTACATCCCAATCCCTGAATATTTCACTCTTAAAAGTTGTTCTCATTAACAACTATATCATCTGTGAGGTATGATCTTTGATGAGTCATGAAGTTAAAAGATCTTAAGCAACTGGGTGATAGAGGAGAATAGAAGGTAGAGCCTCAAATAATGTATAATAAATGACTACAATGTAGACTTATAAGATAGTATAGCTCAAGTCATAAAAACTAAGGGGCTGGGTGAAGCTAGAGAGACTGATATTACTAATATCTCCATCAAGAAGTAGTGCAAAGAAGATAAAGACACAACCCTCTTGAAATGTCCTAGTAGATCACCAGTGTCCCCACTGATATATCTGGCCTCTTGTTCTCTTTGGGTGAGGCAGGCTAGCTATAGCCCCTCTCATATTGGGCAGAATGTGAGATGTTCTAACAGGGATCACCAAGTTCAATATTTCAGTTTGGCTGGAGCAAACTTCCTACATGGCAGATTATAATCGGAAAGAGTAATGAGTATTGAAAAATAACCTATCATGTATTACACATGTGTGTATGTATCTGTGTGCATGTACCAATAATAACAGCAAATGCAAGGTTTAAAAGAATAAAAATAACATAGAATTAACTCCATGTACACTAAGACCAAGGCCAACCATTTAATAAGATGTGTGATAGTAAAGACAATGTCACTGTCTTCCCTTATGTCTTTAGTGACTACAACAGTGGACTGGCTAGTGGTGAAAGAATTGCTTGCACTGTAGACTGGAATCCTTATGAGAAGAATTAACTAGAACTTAATGCTTGCCTAGTGTGTGCCCAGGTGTTGCTCCAATCAGTTCAACTTCAGTCCATGACCACTCCATAGAACAGATATGATTTGTTCTTCGCTGCCTATCAAAGGTTTTCACGTTCATACCTTTCAAAGATTTCTTAAAAGTAGACTTTCTTCTCCATTCCTTTTTAGTAAAAACCTACACCTACATGGTACATTTCTGTCTGCCAGCCTTACCACCATCTTGCTTCCCATCATCATTAATGTATGCCAGAGAACCTGTGTCCTTCAGTGATCTGTCACCCCATTAAGGAGATACTTCAAGACCATCCTTTTAAAGAATAAACTAGAAGGTCCTTGCCTTTTATCACCAGTTTTCCAACTAATTTTTTGTTAAAGTCCTTATTACATTTAGATTTGCTTGTACATTTTTAAAAATATCACCTTTCTATTCTAAGATTCCATCGAAACTACCAAATGGCATTTAGTCATTAAATCTCTTGAGACAGTTTCTCATCCACTGCTTGTTTTTGACGATCTTGGCAATTCTGAACACTGCTGGACAGAAAGTTTGCAGGGTACCCTCCAGTTGAGATTTGTCTGCCTTTTTTTCCAGATAAAGCTGATGTGTTTGGGGTAAATGATCAGGGAGGCGAAGCGCCCTTCTTCCTACAAATCTCAAGGATATACAATAACAACAATACAAATCTCAAGGATACACAGTAGCAACAATACAAATCTCAAGGATATACAATAACAACAATACAAATCTCAAGGACATACAATAACAACAATACAAATCTCAAGGATACACAGTAGCAACAATACAAATCTCAAGGATACACAATAACAACAATACAAATCTCAAGGATACACAATAACAACAATACAAATCTCAAGGATATACAATAACAACAATACAAATCTCAAGGACATACAATAACAACAATACAAATCTCAAGGATACACAATAACAACAATACAAATCTCAAGGATACACAATAACAACAATACAAATCTCAAGGATACACAGTAGCAACAATACAAATCTCAAGGATACACAATAACAACAATACAAATCTCAAGGATACACAGTAGCAACAATACAAATCTCAAGGATACACAATAACAACAATACAAATCTCAAGGATACACAATAACAACAATACAAATCTCAAGGATACACAATAACAACAATACAAATCTCAAGGATACACAATAACAACAATACAAATCTCAAGGATACACAATAACAACAATACAAATCTCAAGGATACACAATAACAACAATACAAATCTCAAGGATACACAATAACAACAAGGCTTGCAGTGTCTGCCATGCTCTCTATTTTCCCTACTTTCTGTAGCATCCTCATCAGAAGAAGCCACAACATGCAGCCCACACTCAAAGCTAGCTTGGAATGAAGAGGTGGGGATAGGGGGACTAGTTGAAGGGAATATATCTATAACACTTAACTACAATTTGGCATGTGAAATGTCTCTTCTTGTTTATTTCTTCATTAAATTATCTCTCTATGTATAGACACAGGAATATTTATTTTATATTCTGTATGATAATCTAATTGAAAGTTATTTATTTTGTTGTGTTTCAGATACTTATGGGTTCTGGCTATGGTGAGAACTTCAGGTTAGCTTTTGAGTTCCTTTGACATGACTTGTATCTTTATGGTTGTCTGTCCTTTGAGCGTTAGCTTACTTTCTGTATTGAAAGATGCTCCAACAGCATTGGGCTGAGCTCCCAAAGTCCAGTTGAAGAGTGGGAGAAGTGAGAATATGAACAAAGAGGTCAAGACCATTATGGGGACACCCACTGAAACAGCTTACCTGAGCTAATAATGAAGCCTTCCAACTCCAACCTGACAGTGAGGGAACCAGCATAGGACCAAACTAGGTCCTCTGAATGTGGTTGACAGTTTTATGGCTGGGGCAGACTATGGGGCCACTGGCAGTGAGGCCAGGATTTATCCCTACTGTTTGTTCTGGCTTTTTGGAACCTATTCTCTCTGGAGGGATACCTTGCTCAGCCTAGATATAGTGGGGAGGACCCTGGTTCTGCCTCAAATCAATGTGCTACACTCTGTTGACTCCACGTGGGAAGCCTTACCCTCTCTGAGAGGTGAATGGGGAGTAGAATGAGGGGTGGGGGTAAGGTGGAAGGAGCAGGAGGAGGGGAAGGAGTGGGAAATGGATTTGGCATGTAAACTGAGAAAAGACAGATTTTTAAAAATAAATTAACAGAAAAAAAAGATGCTCCATCTTCATGTAAATTTCATGCTCCTGCCCTAGACTAAGAGACACTATGTTTTTATCATAGAATGCTACAAGAAATTATGATCTAGTAATTTAATTTTAATTTTTCTTAATTTTTTTGTTTTATTGAGCTATATATTTTCTCTACTCCCCTCCTCTCCTCTCTTCCTCCTGCCACACTTCTACCCTCCCCATGATCCCCATGCTCCCAATTTACTCAGGAGATCTTGTCTTTTTCTACTTCCCATGTAGATTAGATCCATGTATGTTTCTCTTAGGATCCTAATTATTGTCTAGGTTCTCTGGGATTGTGAACTGTAGGCTGTTTTTTTTTTGCTTTATGTCTAAAAGTATGAGTGAGTACATATTTGTCTTTCTGGATCTTGGTTCCCTTACTCAATATGATGTTTTCTAGATCCATCCATTTATCCACAAATTTCAAAATGTCATTTTTTTCTGCTGTGTAGTACTCCATTGTGTGATGTGCCACATTTTCCTTATCCATTCTTCGGTCGATGGACATTTAGGTTGTTTACAGGTTCTGGCAATTACAACAAATGCTGCTATAAACATAGTTGAGCACATGTCCTTGTGGCACGATTGAGCATCGTTAGGATATATACCCAAAATGGTATTGCTGGGTCTGAGGAAGGTTGTTTTCTAATTTTCTGAGAAATTGCCACACTGACATCCAACGGGGCTGTACCAGCTTGCATTCCCACCAGCAATGCAGGAATGTTCCCTTTACCCCACAACCTCTCCAGCGTAAGTTGTCATCAGTGTTTTTGATCTTGGCCATTCTTACAGGTGTAAGAGGGAATCTCAGAGTTGTTTTGATTTGTATTTCTCTGATGGTTAAGGATGTTGAGCATCTTAATTTAAATTTAACGTCCACATGCAGCTAACAACTACCATATTACACAGGATAATGCTCTATACTAATTTCCATCTTCATACAATATTAAAATACTGCTTTCTACACTATATTGATGAATCTCATTCCTTTGGGTACTATGTTAGACTGGTTATACCACAAAGGAAGACTTACCCAATAATGAAGCAGGAAACCGCTGTCCCAAAGAAGGCGTAGGCCAGAATTGATCCAAGATTTCTGAAAAAGTGTCTCTGAATAAAACAAAAAAATAGGAATTATAGTAATTATTGGTAGCAAGCCAAATAAAAAATCAAACATATAAGCAAAAACTTTACATTAAAAGCCTCTAAAACCTAATATGTCACACGGTTTATACATCTAGCAATATCAGGAGTCACTCCTAAATAATGCTATTCAGTCTTAAACAGCGTGGTTTTAAAATATCCTTTGCACTATTGATCACTAACCAAGTAACCAAGAACCTGATGAATTTCAGACAAAACAATTCAGGCTAAAAATAATGAACTGAATTGAGTGTTTATATATGTAAACCAATTTTTTTGACTGGACAAAAGCCATCTTATTTCACAGTTCTGCCAAGTACTCCCTACTTTAGTGGGATCTTAGAGGGTCATTAAAGATAAAAGTCTGAAACAAATAAATGAAAAAGTATCATCTGAGAAACTTTCTACTTAATTTGATGGCAGAAAGCAGACTCCGAAATATACGCTCATTGGACTCGAGATATCACCTTATATTCATCTGGTTTACTCTTTGGAGCCTGAAAAAGATGAACAACAGAGTTGGGAGTGGATAAATGAGAATGGTAATGAATTTGATTCAAGATAGCCATGTTTGCTATAGTAAAAACTTATAATCAATGTTAAGATGCAGTGATTATTCAGAAAGTTGCAAAATTACAATATCCCTCTGATGGGGTTCTGCATATTCAAAAGTTAGCTTCAAAATGAACACCACAAACACATATGCACACATGCTCACTTCTTACAATTCATCAGGTCCATGGGGTCTCCTGATGAAGAGCAGGTTATACCTGTTTGTAAGATCTTTTAAAAACAGGCAAAGGCAATTTCTATTTGAGATTCAGAAGTACTTAATAGGAATAGACAAGCAAAAATCCTCCAAACACCCACAATTAAACAAAGATTATCAAAATGTTAGCCATTATTTTTTATTGTTTTTATTGAGCTCTACATTTTTCTCTGCTCCTCTCCTTTCCTTTCCCCTCCCCTTCAACTCTCTCCCATGGTCCCTATGCTCCCAATTTGCTCAGGACATCTTGTCTTTTTCTACTTCCCATGTACATTAGATCTATGTTTGTCTCTTTTAGGGTCCTCATTGTTGTCTAGGTTCTTTGGGATTGTGAATTGTAGGCTGGTTTTCTTTGCTTTATGTCTAAAAGCCACTTATGAGTGAGTACATATGGTATTTGTCTTTCTGAATCTGGGTTACCTCACTCAATATGATATTTTCTAGATCCATCCATTTGCCCACAAATTTCAAGATGTCTTGGTTTCTTCTTCTGCTGTGTAAGTACTCCACTGTGTAAATGTACCACAGTTTCCTTATCCATTCTTCAGTCACGGGGCATTTAGGTAGTTTCCAAGTTGTGGCTATGACAAACAATGCTGTTTTTGTTGTTGTTGTTGTTGTTGTTGTTGTTGTTTTTTGAGACAGGGTTTCTCTGTGGCTTTGGAGCCTGTCCTAGAACTAGCTTTTGTAGACCAGGCTGGCCTTGAACTCACAGAGATCTGCCTGCCTCTGCCTCCCGAGTGCTGGGATTAAAGGTGTGCGCCACCACCCCCCGCCCCCGGCTAACAATGCTGCCTTGAAAATAGTTGAGCACATGTCCTTGTGGTATGATTGAACATCTTTTGGGTATATACCCAGAAGTGGTATTGCTGGGTCTTGAGAAAGGTTGTTTCCTAATTTTCTGATAAATCGTCACACTGACATCCAAAGGGGTTGTACCAGCTTGCATTCCCACCAGCAATGCAGGAGTGTTCCCTTTCCCCACAACCTCTCCAGCATAAATTGTCATCAGTGTTTTTTATCGTGGCCACTCTTACAGGTGTAAGATGGAATCTCAAGAGTTCTCTTGATTTGCATTTCTCTGATGACTAAGGATGCTAAACATTTCCTTAAGTGTCTTTCAGCCATTTTAGATTCATCTGTTGAGAGTTCTCTGTTTTGGTCTGTACTCCACTTTTTATTGGATTATTTGTTCTTTGGATGACCAATTTCTTGAGTTCTTTGTATATTTTGGAGATCAGACCTCTGTCCTATGTGGGGTTGGCGAAGATTTTTTCCCATTCTGTAGGCTGCCATTTTGTCTTATTGACCTTGTCCTTTGCTTTACAGAAACGTCTCAGTTTCAGTAGGCCCCATTTATTGTTTCTCCCAAATTTATTGTTTGTGCTACTGGGGTTATATTTAGGTAGTGATCTCCTATGCCAATGTGTTCAAGCATACTTACCACTTTCTCTTCTGTGAGGTTCAGTGTGGTTGGCTTTATGTTGAAGTACTTGATCCATTTGGACTTGAATTTTGTGCTTGGTGATAGATATGGATCTATTTTCATTCTTCTACATGTTGATATCCAGTTATGCCAGCACCATTTGTTGAAGATGCTTTCTTTCTTCCATTTGATATTTTGTTTTACTTCTTTGTCAAAAACCAGGTATTCATAGGTGTATGGATTGATATCTGGATCTTCTACTTGGTTTCATTTGTCCTCCTGTCTGTTTTTATGCCAATACCAGGCTGTTTTTTTGTGTAGGAGGTCCTTCTATATTTGTATTGCTTCCATTGGTTGAATAAAGAGACTGCCTTGGCCTTTTGATAGGACAACCTTTAGGTGGACGGAAGAGACAGAACAGAATGCTGGGAAGAAAGGAAGTGTGGCAGACACCATGAACCTCTGGCCTGAGATGGACGTAGGTTAGAATCTTGCCAGTAAGCCACAATCACGTGGTGATACACAGATTTAATAGAAATGGGTTAATCAAGATGTGAGAGTTAGCCAATAACAGGATAGAGCTAATGGGCCAGGCAGTAATTTAATTAATACAATTTCCATGTGATTATTTCAGGGGCTAAGCTAGCCGGGAGGCAGGATGCAGCCCGATGCTCATCCTACCACATGTTTCCAGTACTGTAGCTCTGTAGTAGAGTTTGAAGTCAGGGATTATAATGCCTCCAGAAGTTCCTTTATCGTATGGGATTGTTTTGGCTATCCGTGATTTTGGGGGTGGTGTTGTTTTTGTTGTTGCTGTTTGTTGTTGTTTTGTTGTAATAATAAATCTAGTCTGTTGAGCAGGCATCCTCTTCTAAAGGGAATTGGGAAGTGTTCCGTCTTCTATTTTCTGAAAGAGGTTCTGCAGGGACAGTTTTATTTCTTCCTTAAATGCTTGGTAGAGTCCACTAATGAAACCAGGTAGGTTTGTAGTAGGTTTTTAATTATTAATTCAGTTAATTGTTTCATATAGAATTTTCCATATTATCTCTGGTAAGTTTTATTAATTTGAGAATTTGTTCATTTCACTTGTCAAATTTATTAGTGCAAGGGCTAGGAAGATACCACATAAAACAAAAGGGTGTGATAGCTCAGGTGTAAAGTCTCTTGCTTTGTTAGTACAAGTACCTGAATTTGAATCTCTAGAGCACATACGAAAAATCTGTGTCTTCCTGTAGCCCCAGCATTGGGAGGTGGAAGACAGGTAGCTCATGAGATCTTGCTGATCAGCCACCCTAGCCAAATAGTGAGTTTCTGGTTCCATGAAAAAAAAATCGTATCTCAATGCAACAAGACAGAGAACAACAAAAGGAAACATTTGACACCCTCCTCTGGCCTCTGCATGCAAGCAAACAAGTACATACTGTAATGATTTCAGCTACATAAGGCTGATACTTCCAAGTTCTAGAGGTCGTGCAAGTACAGACAAGCCCTCAGGCAAAAGAAGTGCCTAATGGCCCCAAGGGATGTTAAAGGGCCCCCTGCAAGATCCACATATGACTCAGCTAAGCCCTTGCATGCACGTGTGAGCCCTGTCGTACAATGTACGTAGTCACGTCAACCCCCTGTGCGCATGTGCTAGGCAGCTTTTAAAAAGCTGGACTCACCATCTTTCTCTCTCTGCACACGGATTCACCAGGCCTGTGCACGCCCCCTCTAATAAACTCATAAACAATTTGTTGTGTGTTTTGTGGTTCCTTCTCACTCGCACCAGGTAATTTCACTCATGTGTATACACAACACAAACGCACACACACAGAGACAAAGACAGACAGACACAGACAGACACACAAGAAAAAACCAAGGTGGGCATGATGGTGCACACTTGTGATCCCGGTACTGAGAAGGTTGAAAAAAGCAGGTCCCTGGAACTCCCTAACCAGACAGTCTAGTCTACTTACAGAGTTTCAGGCCAATAAAAGACCCTGTCTCAAAAATAATGAGGTGTACAGTGCCTGAATCATACCGAGATTAACTCCTCCCTCCCCATACAATTTCCTGGCACAAAACTGTTCTGAGTACTCCTTTATTATCAGCTGAATGTCGGAATATTCTATAGTGATACCCTCTCTTATGTTCCTAATACAGTTTTCCCAATTAATCTATCCAGAGTTTCCTCATTTAGAAGTTATTTTCAGGTTCATAAAGATGTTATGTTTACTGTCAGCCAAGATCTCTCTTCTCTGGACCTGGAAGGTTTGTCTCAAGTCTTCCTTTAGAGTTGAAATGGGCTATTACCCTAGGAAGGCCTTTGGGGAGGTAATCTTCACACAATACTCCCACAATGAGAAAGAGAGAGGGGGGATGGAGGGAGAGAGGGATGGGGGAAGAGAGAAAGAAAGATCTACCTATGTTTTGTAAACATACTTGGTTTTTCAAATAAACAGTAGTTTAGGTTTAAGATGCTGTCAAGTACAGTGATCCTCAATAAGGGGGATAGTCAAGTTCTTTAAAACTTTTTTTTACTTATGAACTAACAATGGATTTACTGAAGTTGCAAAGACAGTATAGAAAGGGTTGGTGTACCCTTCATCCACTTTCCTACACTGATGGTAACATATGCAACTATAGGAAAGTATCTAAAACCAGGAAACTATCATTAGTACAATATCAGTATAATTTTATCAGATGTGCAGATTGTATAACTACTGCCACAGTCAAGATACAGAACTGACCTGGAGCATCACACTCATCTAGCATGTATGAAAGGCTCTGCACCCCATCCTTGGACATACAAGAAATATTCCATGACTACAAAAATATCCCTTGTGATCTCTCTCCTCAAACTGTACTTTACCATCATCCCTAATCCCAGGCAACCACAAATTTGTTCTGTAGTTCTATAATTCTGTCATTCCTGTAATGCTACATAAAGTAATACAGCATATAACCTTGAATGTGGATTTTCTGACTCAGCAGAATGCCTTATAAATCTATCCAGATTATACAGCAAACATTTTTTCCATGTGATCGCTGAAGGTTTTTCTATGGTATGGATCTACTACAGTTTAATTAACCATTACCCACAGGAAGGCATTTTAGGTTTTTTTTTTGGTTTTGTATTACAAATAAGATAGTATGAAGAATGCGGCATAAATTTTTGTGTGAATGTAAGTTTACTTTCTCTTCAAGAAATCCTCAGCAGTGAAGCTGTTCCCTTAAGACAACTTGGACTTCAGTTTTACAAGAAACTATCACCTTGCTTGCCAAAGTGGCTATATCATGTTACATTCCTGGTGGTATGAAAGAGCTCTAGATTTTAAAACAGATGAATCACAGATGATGAAGCCACCTATGATCTCTGAGTGGGTACAGAGCACAGAAATCTGAGAGTTTAGGGGAAACACTAGTGTCAATTGACACTGAGACTCTTAAGAAATTAATGGCAAAATGGTCATACCTTCTTTAAACTGTATCCAGCATGGAAAATAATTGGAGGCAGCAGAATGTTGAAAAATACCTCTGGATCAAATGTTACCTGAAATTTTAAAAAGAAAAAAAGTCAAAATTTAGATTAAGATAAACTGAAAATATTTATTAAATATTGAAAGCCATTGACTAAAGTGCCTGATTAAAACAAAAGCCACCAATGTGTTAAATCATTACAGCAGTGAAGCCACGATTTCCCTCTATCTCTCTCTAGATCTTCCTCTCTATCTCTCCCTCCCCCAGCACTTCTGAATAAGATTCCAGTGTTCTATCTTAATACATATTAAGTCCTAACAGTTTGAGGCAATTTCAGGAACTCACAGAAAGCTGCTGCCAATGTTTTTCAACAGAAAAGAAAAACATCTTGATTTTTATCACATATTCATGAAGGTTTAATTGCAATTGAGTCTTCATTAACTTTCAGACTATTAATGCGCTCTTTTCTAGATACAATTCTACTACATTTAAGTCTCTTTTGAGGAAACAGTCTTCTGAAATCCTTCATGTGGCCTAGACAAAGTTATCAGTGAGGTCAGTAGCTTCCTGATCATCAACAGAAGTTCGGTAACTCTACAGAGACTGAAATCAGTTGTTGATATAAGGAATTCACACTGAAACATCTACAGCGCTAATCATAGTACAGCCAAAGAAACTAAGCATTTCCAAACATGCTAACCTTTTTAGGAGGGAGAAAGGGTAGGCTAAATATTTAAAATAATTAACTGAAATAAAAGTCAATTAATGTATCCACATGAATAAATCTTTTAATATTGATTTCTTGTCTATCCTGGAAATCACTTACATGAGAGGCTTATAATCTTTTTTGAAGCATTTTTGCTACTCCATAATCAAATGAAAAACAATGTTAAAGCTAGGCATAGTGAAGAATGCCTATAATTCTAGCACTCCGGAGGCTGAGGCAGGAAGACTGATTTTGAGATCAGCCTGAGCTACATTTTAAGAGGCTTTCTCAAAAGAAAAAACTGGATTTTTTAAAATTGAAAAACAGTGCTTGCACTTAAATTCTCCCTAAAACAAGCCTGTCTTCCTTTGAAGATTAGGTAAGTCTTTGGCATCAGTCACTAATAAGTTCAAGCAGTCAAATATTTTCAGACTATGTAAAGAAAGCCATGAAGAATTAAGAATTACAGTTCAGAATACTGACTAAGCTAAAAGGGAAATTAATATTATTTTAAGAAAGATAGCCTCCTTTCTAAGGCACAGCAAGGTTAAGAGAAAACAAGGCAAGCGGGATGTACAAACATGTTGCATAAGCAGCAGCCCGTATCTACAGATCCTAGCTAGTTAAGGTCAGAAAGCTGAAGGGACAAAGTTACAATCTGGCTCTTCCTTCTCCTCATCCTGACACAGAAGCTACCCTAGAAAACAGTGAGCCAGGAATGTGACTGAAGTTCCAGCAGTTAGAAAGGGTTTTTCTCCTAAAGGTCAAGATAAAGCCAGGGAATCTGGAACTTTGTCCCAGACAGCCTGGTACCAGCTCACCTTCCGCAGCATGTCATTCTGCTCCACGTTATTGATCTTGCCAGGGCTGATTTCTCCTTTCAAAGTGTATTCAAAGAACTTGCCACTGACATTCACTAATAAGGTGCTAAAGGCTCTATCTTCCTGAGTACATCTGAGTGACTTGTCATGTCCGCTGGTAGCAGGGGTGCCATACCTCAGGATCACTCCAACAATGAGCCCTGAAAAAGAATCAGTCATTTGCAGAGGTGCAGCTGTGCAGCTGAGTTAACCCTGCCCAGTCTTCTGAATAATTCAGAAAAGTCATTTTCCCTTTTGGTTTCTCTCTTTCAGATACTGGCCAGAGTGTCAGTATGCTTTCTCCGGTATTCTTTTTTACTCTGAAGCTACCTGCCTTTTGCCATGTGCTTGCTTGCCCAACTTCCATGCCTAACTTAAAAAGACATAGCTTTCTCTCTTCCTCTTCTCCATCTACATCCTCTGGGCAGATGCTGAGTGAGATTTCCAGATGGCCTATTCTAGAGTTTTCAACACTAATAAAAACATTGTTGGACTCTGAAAAGGCCAGTCATGTGGCAGAACAGAAAGTATGGAAGTGATACCTCTGTTGATTCAAGTCCCTCAGTCACGAGGAGTAAACAGTTTAGTGCTTGATATGACCCCATGAACAGAATTAATACCTGCTTGTGCTTCATGTCGTATTGCTGAGGCTTTTAGTAGAGAAGGATGAGGTGGAGAAACAGTGTAACATTTTCAGAATGAGGAAGAACTACTGAGCCTTTTTTCCCCAGGGCATCCCTCAAACCAGCCCTGCTGTCATCTGCTAGGGTGGACCAAGCCACTGGAATTTTTAGTTGCTATAAATGGAACATGCTTTGCCACACACCAGAGGTAGTGGAGGGGAAACAAAATGGTTTTTCTTATATCATTCCAAGCACTGAATATCATGGAGAAAGTAACTATACCCACTAGGAGGCTAAATACTGTAGTGTAAACTTAAGCAGTCATGATCCAGGAGCCAGGGAGCTGCTTCTTGAGGCTACACATTTAAAATGATGTTCTTAATAATTTCATCCTGACCAGCTGTGAAATAATCTTAGAGGTATAAGAAAAGGCAGACTTAATCTTAAAAAGTATATATATCATTACCAAAAGAGATATCTAAAGAAAACAAAGGTTCCATAATGCAGATGCTTCAAGTTGTCTGGTGAACAGGCAGTGTCAGTCTTCTTTTTTTTCTGGGTTTTTCTTTTATTTTATCCAATAATTATTATTAAGCAAAACCAATCCCTTGGTAATGGACTTCTTTTTTTGTTTTGTTTTGTTTTGTGATTTTTTTAATTTTTATTTTTCTTTATTGAAAAAAAAATTTCCGCCTCCTCCCAGCCTCCCACTCTTCTCCCCTCCCCCCACTCCTCTTCCCCTCCCCCCACTCCTCTCCCCCTCCCTCTCCAGTCTGAAGAGCAGTCAGGGTTCCCTGCCCTGTGGAAAGTCCAAAGTCCTCCCCGCTCCATCCAGGTCTAGGAAGGTGAACATCCAAACTGGCTAGGCTCCCACAAAGCCAGAATATGTAGTAGGATCAAAACCCAGTGCCATTGTCCTTGGCTTCTCATCAGCCCTCATTGTTCACCATGTTCAGAGAGTCCAGTTTTATCCCATGCTTTTTCAGTCACAGTCCAGCTGGCCTTGGTGAGCTCCCAATAGATCAGCCCCACTGTCTCAGTGGGTGGGTGCTCCCCTCGTGGTCCCGACTTCTTTGCTCATGTTCTCCCTCCTGCTCCTCATTGGGACCTTGGGAGCTCAGTCCAGTGCTCCAGTGTGGGTCTCTGTCTCTATCTCCATCCATCGCCAGATGAAGGTTCTATGGTGATATGCAAGATACTCAGCAGTATGGCTATAGGATAGGGTCATTTCAGGTTCCCTATCCTCAGCTGCCCCAGGAACTAACTGGGGACCTGGCCTTGGGCACCTGGGAGCCCCTCTAGGTCCAAGTCTCTTGCCAACCCTAAGATGGCTCCCTTAATTAAGATATGTGCTTCCCTGCTCCCCTACCTAACCTTCCTTTATCCCAATCATCCCATTTCCCCAAGTTCTCCCCATCCTACCCTTCTCACTTTTCTCTCCCCATCTCCCCTTACCCCCATCCCACCCCACCCCCAAGATCCCAATTTTTTGCCCGGCAATCTTGTCTACTTCCCATACCAGGAGGATAGCTATATGTTTTTCTTTGGGTTCACCTTCTTATTTAGTTTCTTTAGGATATCAAATTATAGACTCACTGACCTTTATTTATGGCTAGAACCCAATTATGAGTGAGTACATCCCATGTTCATCTTTTTGGGTCTGGGTTACCTCACTCAGGATAGTATTTTCTATTTCCATCCATTTGCATGCAAAGTTCGAGAAGTCATTGTTTTTTACCACTGAGTAGTACTCTAGCGTGTATATATTCCACACTTTCTTCATCCATTCTTCCATTGAAGGACATCTAGGTTGTTTCCAGGTTCTGGCTATTACAAACAATGCTGCTATGAACATAGTTGAGCATATACTTTTGTTGTATAATCGGGCATCTCTTGGGTATATTCCCAAGAGTGGTATTGCTGGGTCCTGGGGTAGGTTGATCCCGAATTCCCTGAGAAACCGAAACACCGATTTCCAAAGTGGTTGCACAAGTTTGCATTCCCACCAGCAATGGATGAGGGTACCCCTTCCTCCACAACCTCTCCAGCAAAGGCTATCATTGGAGTTTTTGATTTTAGCCATTCTGACAGGTGTAAGATGGTATCTTAAAGTTGTCTTGATTTGCATTTCCCTGATCGCTAAGGAAGTTGAGCATGACCTTAAGTGTCTTTTGGCCATTTGAACTTCTTCTGTTGAGAATTCTCTGTTCAGATTAGATGAATTTCCATTCATTTCTTCACATCTGGTGATAAATCAGATGATGGCAGAGATGGCTAGCCAGAAGTTGCTCATCCTTGGGAGCATGTTCTCAGCTGGCACTGTCATGGCTACCTTGCTTCAGGCTTTCCGGGTTTCTGTGCTGGGAAGTAAAGGTGTGAGCTACCTACAGAAAGGTGGCTGTTGCTCACATGTTTTTATTTCCTTGATCTTCATTCCTGTTCTAGCAAGGAAGGTAGGATAAATTGTCAGTTTCTATCAATTCTCCCTCATAGGAGGCTTTGAGAACTCTGATAACTACTTAGGGCTCCTATGAATGGAGCAGGAAGGAAGTATGTCATATGTAGTAGTCAGTCCTAGTGTTTCCTAGTCAGTCCTCGGTGCAGTGAACCATCCCTTCGCTGTGAAACTCTGTCCTCTAGGTGTGATATGGAAATCGTCATCTTGAAATCAGAGCAGCTGTGATTACTCATACAAGGCCCTCACAAGATTAGGTCAAAAATAAGTTACTTTCTGGAAAGGAAGGGCTCTTCATCACCGGTGCAGCTGTCTCTAAGTTGCCCATGCTTATATAGGCAAGCCTTTCATTCAGGATCCTATAAATAACCCCAATTAAACTCACTGGCTCACTAAGCTACACCAGTCGAATTATTTCTTTGGCTTTTATCAGAGCCCTATCTAAAGTGAAGAAAAGTCACTAGCCCCATTTACATTATTCTGCTCATTCTTCTGATGATTGTGTGGAAGGTCCCATGGCACAGATGATATCTCTCATGGTTACCATGTGTTATTTACATCCCAACATTAGAACCACACCGGGTCCTGTATCATTGCTGCCTGCTGCCTGTGCACCCTTTTCTCCTTTAACAACACACAACTCCACAAATGTTCTATCTTCTTTGTTGTAAGGATGTTCCTTGGGAGTTATTCTTCTCGGTGACAATCTAGTGAACAAGTTACATCTATTAGTATCCTGTGGGTGAAACCATATATCTGTGTGTGTGAGAGGGGGCGGGAGGGAGAGAGAGGGAGAAAGGGGAGAATGAATGAGAATACAGGAGATATGCATGGAGATCAGAGAACAACTTTAGGTGTCAGTCCTTGCCTTCTACTTTGTTTGAGATGGGACCTTTCTTTTTGTTGCTGCATTCACCAGGCTAGTTGGCCTGTAAGCTTCTGGGAAACCTGTTCTCTCCACCGCTCATCTCTAGAAGCAATGGGATTACAGATATACCACCACGATCAGCTTTCATGTGGGTTCTGGGGATTTGAACTTAGATCTTCACACTTGCTTTGCCCACTGAGCCACATCCCAGAAGCATATGCTTCTTATATAGAACCATCTTATGGTTTTTAAAGCTCCATTACAGTGACAGTTTGTGCCCATGGTGCCAGGCTGAGTGTCTCAGTCTTATTACTCATAGTTGAGGTTGATAATGACTAAGATTAGCTGTAACAACAGTGCTTCCTTCCAAGGCAGCTGGCAGCACTGCGGGCAGGAGGGTGGGGACTGCTGGGTGCTCTCAGGGCTTTACTGTCCAGATCTTTAGTATCTTTTAGTCTCATTTCAGTCCTTGGTTAGGCAGTCATGTTCTGATGACGTTTTACTTGACAAAGCAGTTGACAGCTCTTCAGCATTTATCATGATACACAATGGTCTATATTGCCTTAAAAAGTGACCTGTCACAGCCAAAAAGATGTATTAGTCATCTCTGCAGTGAGCAGAGAACAAACAGTACCTTTCATGATGGAAATCAATGCTGACTGGGAGCTCCCATAAGGGGCTGAGCTTCAAAGGAGGAAGATGGAAGTGGCCAGTAGAATGTACAGCAAGGAAAAGAACTATCCTTAAAGGAGAAATTGAGGAGCAGCAAAATTATGCCAAGTGTTATGAGCTTCTGCTTCGAGTGGAAGCCTTTTTGGGTCAATAGGGTGATATTTTGCAATAAAAAGTACAACCCAGACAACCTCCAAAAAAAAAAAAGAATATATTTATGTAACAATCAAACAGCAGATGCCCAATAAACACTTTTAATCAGCTGAATTTGAATAAAGATTGTCAGTAAAAATCAAAAAAAAACTAAGCTAACAATGATGTGAATGTCCCTGTAGTGTAAGACTAGGTTAATATCCCAAAGAGTAGGATTAAGATTGTGTTGATAGGAATACTACACATCCCTTCTCTATCCTATACTTAGTGCAGTCTTTGGAAAGAAAGAAATTAGTTGCTGTTGTTTAAAAAAAAAGTAGCCTGTCACACAGTTTATACTAAACAGGTTCATAACGAAAAGAAAAACCAAAACATAGTATTTACAAAAAC